CTTCTCGCTCGTTGTTGCAGGGGTACATGTAATACTGTGTAATAAAACATGGAACTAGGTCATCACTGCTTATAGATTCTTGCCCCAAGGGCCTTCCAGCAGTTTTCTTTTCAGCAAGCAATGGGCCCAGTGCGAATGGACTGGTCTGCATTGGAGCACTGATCTTCCTCGTTCGGAACACTTTATACGCTTATTCGCTTGAACATGTTGGCAAGTTGAGGGTATTGCTTGGACATCACCCCAACTGCCATTGATGCAGCGTTTATTTCTCTACACGTTCAAGATTAACCACCTTATCCCTACATTAGAGTCATTACTGTGACTAAATAATAAATCGTGTCCGTTACGTAACATCTTTCCTCGCTGACTACATTTACAGCACCACCTACAAGCGCAGCCTACGGTGCATTTGGATAGAATTACGAAGTTATATGAATTCGGGTCGAATTTCAGGCCACAAATTGACCCGGTTTCCTAGGCTATGGTTGTCAATGTTGATTCACGTCGATTCACGTCTAGTTTTTTAACCAAACATGTCTGTCGCGTTATATAACCAATACTTTCACATTAATTTGTATCCTGAATGTGTCCCGACTCCGAATCACACACGGCATGCTTACTAACCCTGCGTGGGCAATTTCATAGACAAGACGCTGTGTATGTCAGCAGATATCACACAGAATGTACGCACCTAACCGAATCTCCCCAGGAGTCTCACAGTAGGTGCAGACAGAGTAAACATACCCAGTTTACATTTGTCTTTTATCACTCTTTTATTCCGAGAGTGAACCCCTTTGAATCAATATAGGTGCAGCAGCCCGTTCCTCCGTCCATTACAGTTAACTCTATCCTGGCAATTTTAATAACCCCCACCGAGGTGTGCATTCCCCAGGCAGACACCAAACCCTCTCCCAGACCAGCCCCTACTGAAATCAGAGCCTACCAACCAAAACCTAACCTGTCATAACAGAGAGATTACACATGGCACGCATGAGACCAGCTAGAGTATGATACTGCCGTGGAAGTACCTACGCACTAAAGATTATTTATACGCGCTTTCAGAATAATCGGTCTACTATTCATTGTGCTACCTTTACTGCATAATAGGTGCTGGGCAAAAACTAGACACCCGGTTATGAAACAAGTCAGTCAGACAACAATCTGCGCAGGGCCCAGCACGCTTGAATAACATTAACCGGCTCTGCACGCACGCAAACCTGTTCCACTTTTATAAAATTATATCAAAGCATTCGAATGTTGCTGTTGGCTCAGTGTGATGGTGTTGAACCCATTGAACCGTCCCAGTCGGATAGAAGAGACTGTCTGAATAATAATTATGCCTTTGTACTGTAGCCTGTCCCGACTGTAGCAGAGCGTAATAGGCAGTACGGCGCAAATTTAAGCGTAAAAAACCACCCCACCCGCAAATGTAAACAGCTAGGGATATGATAACGGCGGCGATGAAAAACTACGTACGTGCACGTGTAAGTGCGAATAATGGTGACAGACAACTATGATTTTAAGTACACGAAAAATTCCCTCAACCACAGTAGCACATCCAGAAACGAGGGGGAGGATGGAGCTATAACGAAAACGCGCGTGAGACAGGGAGAACGAGAGAGGGGGTGAGAGAAAGTAGGAGCTAGAGAGGGGGAGAGAGAGAGCGAGGGGGAGCGACAGAGGGAGAGAGGGAGAGGCAGAGTGAGTGAGTAGGAATAACAGACAGGAAACCTGAACAGATGTATGAACAGACAAATATACCAAAGAAAAGCACATTCTAGTTTCTACATTTATTTCTCTTGGCAATGTAGACCTGCAACTACCATAATTATAAATTTAATTATTTTGGTCCCAAAACAAGACATGGGTTGAAACGTGTATAACGAGGAGTAGAGATCGCAATCCCTAGGGAGTGCAAACAATACATCGAACTATATCAATAACGACAATATATATGATGATAGTGGATGGCTGGCGTCGATAAATCAATACCAGTGAGTGTGGACATAATAAAAATTGCTGTCATTACTACCAACTATCAATAGCTTCTTCATTTTGCTATTTTACTGCGACTTATTTCACTTGCTTCCACTGTTTATTTAGTAAGTTAGTCAAATTTATCTTCCAATTGCTAAAATGCAATGCAAAATACGAACAGCACTAAACCAATTTATGTTTTGACTTTATAGCTCATCGATTTCAATGTAGTAGTAAAACCGATCGGAGGTCATTCATTTTTTAAGTTGTAAACACCAACACTTACGTGTTGGCAAGCACGAACCCACACATACACATATCTATATTTCTCAACTTAATTTCTTCATTTTTCAATACAACTGTAATAGTGATCACTGATCGTCAATATCAGCTAGCAGGGCTACAAGCCTACAACTATATATCTATACAAACAAGCGCGAATAAAAACAATTTTTGGTGTGTTTTTATCCACTTCTGATACAATTTACAATATGTCCTGTTCATGTGACAATTTCAATAGCACTGTAAAAAGTCGAGTTGCCCCCAATAGTCACTCATACTATTCACTCGTGCAATCTGACACATACATGATACATGTATGTACTGCTCCATACGCGGTGACATACAATGCAGGTACACGTATGTCACTGTCAAGGACTCTAATTATAGCCAGTCAAGGCCAAATCGCAATATATATATCGACCAAATGATGTACATGTTGAACGTATACTATGTATGCGGTATAGCCGACTGTGAACACATCTATGTGAGTAGCAGGATGCTGGCTTGATAAGTCGACATACATGTAGAACTGGAATCTCATCAGCTGATTCTACTTGTTTTCATACATGTCAGTGTGTTTGTAGTGGTAGATAAATAAACATACCTTAGAATTTCACAGATAAGTATTGTAATCGAAATGAAAAATAGACACACATTCATGCACCCTCACATATATATATGTGCGCACCGTCTCACACACATACATACACAAAACTAGTACTAGTAGTGATATTTTTTGGTGCACTCCTATCTCTCCTGTCAATATTATCGTATTACCCCCACCTTACTTTCTGCTGGCTCTCTCTTGTCCTAGATACCTATATTATTGCTCCAAAATACACAAGCTTCTTTACAGTGAAAGAGAAACTCCCACCCAAATCTTGATTAGGAATCACATAAGTTAGTTAACAAAGGCCATACAGAAGAAAAGCCAGTATAAGCTCCACCCATGACTGCATAATGTGCAAAGCTCTATTTTCCATGTGCATAAAAATGTGAAACTAGCCAAACTCAGCTGGCCTTTGTGACTAGCCGGCAGGTCACATCAATCAGGTCTATGCCTGAATCAGTGCATGCATGTGAGGAGAGAAGCTCGGGATGCAGAACTCTCTTGTACAGTATGAACACTAGAAATGACCACACCACCTGTACTATTTTCCAATCAATGTGTTCATCGCACTGCATGTCCAGAATGTGATCCTAAAATTACATCCAACATCAACCATGATGCCAATAGCTGAGTGCAAAACCATTTCATTTGGTCATTCTAAATAGCACTTCTATACTCATTTCACAGTTATTTTTAACTAATGATTAACAAGCGACAAATAAAACGTGATAATTTTTATTGGTGATAGGATATGAACCTAGAAGCAGTATTCTTCTTTAAAATTCATAGAAAAATTAAGTGCACAAATTCGGTGTAATCAAGAAATCAAGAATCTGTCAAAAATTCTCAACTCCCAGCCAGTATCACCCATTTTATATCTAACATACAAAACATATTAGTCAGGAGGATTAGTAGAAAAATATAGTAAATTTATTTGATGTTGCATTGTATTAGATTTGCCTGTATGTTATCTTTGTTCGACTGCGTGCATGCTTGTGTGTGGGCAGCTATAGTTAATATAGCCTTCACCACATTAGCTAGTACTGCTGAGAGAATCTATGTCCCCCGGGGTACTGCCGGAAGGTACCCTGGGGGACATAGACCCTATGAGCGCTAGTACTGGTAGTAGCATGAACACATGAGTATTCATGCTAGACATATATGTTCATGGTAATAGTGTGTGGGGGTAGAGATTTTAATATGTATTTCACTATACACATTACACACACACCCAATGCTCTACAGTGCACACCATGTTTACAGATTTTTGAAGGTGATATTTTTATATCTGGTGCCAGGCAACAATACTAGTTCCAGCACTGCTGCATGTGCACATCACCTGCCAAATATAATGTTCAGCTACAGCTCATGTTAAACAAGTACATGTACCAACGAAGATACAGACACTGTCAAATCATTAACCTGACTATATATTGTCTCTTGTGTCCCTGACCGAAGTAGCGAATGCATGGGCCACTTACAAAGGGATCTCATATAGATAGGAAACCATAATTATATATGAATTTAACCTAAATGTATCCACTTAATAGTAATAGTACTAGAGCTGGTATTACTGTTATTGCCAATAGTACCGGTAACGTCAGAAATCTCTACTTGTAATATATCTTCGATAAAACCCATTACCGTACATGCACATAATCACGCAGACACATACATGTCTACGAACATACACACACAGGCACAGGCGCGTACATGTACGTGTTTGGGAGGGTGTGCTCAGGTTTGTGTGTGCACATGCGTGTTTGTGTCATTGTGTCTGTTTGTCTGTTTGGTTATGTACTGTATAATGTGTGCTAAAGCTTTCAGTATAAATTCTGACGAGTTTTAAAAGTTATAAACATTGAAATTTAAAATATTAAATTTTAAAATAAAATAATTTTTGGCAATTGACTCTCATAAGTCAAATATTCACTCGTGTTATATTGTATCACTCTATTTCACTTCATTCTACAACATCTATAAAAAGATTCGATTCGTTTATCGCACGACGCATACATAGCACTAAGCGATAATGAATCTAACTGACCACCCCTACAGCGCAGTTTGGTTAGACCAAACCAGCGCCAGACACATAATTTACGTAATTTTTTGCAATACATTTCAGACTTACCTAAGCCAAGTATGGAGCAAATAAGAAGAACCTTGATCAGCCACATCATCAATACTTTTGTTGAACTCCTGATGCGTCTTTACTACTCATCCACTTACATTGCAGCTGTTGAAAATAAGTCGATATGCGGTGTCGGTGAACGAGACATCTCAACCCAATTTCAACATGGCTGCCTCCGTTTTTTTACTTTTCTCACAAGCTCCGCCTTGTCTGCGATTCAGAATTTCAGTCTTCTAAACATGCACTGTATTTTGTCGCAATCTCAGATGGTCAAGTAACAATTCCACCGCCTGCATAGTCCCATCGTGACTCCTACGACGGTATATTACAGGGACTATGCGGCGAAATTAAACGTAAATACTTGCAAGACTGCACAGTGTCTGCCATGCAGCGTCGAACGCAGACTGTCTCGCGTGGAAGGGTCTATTTTACAACTGCAGGGGTACTCGCCCTACCCATCGCAGATTAACTCTTTCATATTTGTCGCCGGTAGAGGGGCGTTCTGTGCAGGATATAAATCATGATGTCATCCTCAGTCATTTTTGGCGGTAGAATTAGGTTTATTTTGTGAAATAGAGGATTTAAGCAGTAGGTCATGAATCTGGCATTGAATGCACACGCACACGCACACGCACGCACATACGCACACATACACAGGGTGCGAAATTAACGGGAGTTCGGAGTCAAATACTCCCTGATTGACTGTCGGACTCCTAGCTGATTTGAAATATGCAGGAGTCCGTGTGACTCCCTGAAAATTCGACTATACTAACTAGTTCGTTCCAGAGCACGGCCTCGCGGAATTACCGTATTTTTTCAGCTAATGTCCAAAGAAAATTTGGCAGACTTGCAACCGCATGAATCTAATAAGCACATCATGCCACATGCGTTAATTTTGAACCTCAGACTGCGTTCTCATACATACATACATACCGGTACATACATACATACCGGTACATACATACATACCGGTACATACATACATACATACATACACACCGGTACATACATACATACATAGTCATACCGGTACATACATACATACCAGTACATACATATACATACATATACATACCGGTACATACATACATACATACCGGAACATACATATACCGGTACATACATACATACATACCGGTACATAACTACATACATACATACCGGTACATACATACATACATACCGATACTGCGGTACATACATACATACCGGTACCCGGTACATATACATACATACATACATACCGGTACATACATACATACATACCGGTACATATACATACATACATACCGGTACATACATACATACATACATACATACATACATACATACATACCGGTACATACATACATACATAGTCATACCGGTACATAGTGCGTATCAAGGTAGCCCACTACGGCGCAAATCCACTTTAGGCACCTTAGTTATCACGAAGTGATGCACAGATTTCTGTGTATCATCATGATGCACAGACTTTCCGTATATCAAAAATGATGCAAAACCCTAACCCTAACACACTTCGTCGGATACCTAGACTAAGTAAGGTTTAACTTTATGACTTAGGGTTAGGGTAGACCGATAATTATGTCCTATAACCTTTTTTTATATTTTGGTTAGGGTTTATATAGGGACAGAACGGGTTCATTGAATTCCGTGAGATCGCATGCAAAATAGCCTAGATACAATAATGATACCCAAACCCAGAGGAATAGCGGTTACAAAGTCTGCGGGCGTATCAGTTTTCTGGCGGAGGAATGCCCGAAGTGAATCACTCGCGGCTCGGTTTGGGCTGCGTGCGTTTGCAGAGACTACTGAACTGTCAAACTGGGTTTATTCTACAAACGAACTTTCTCCCGATTCGGAACTTACTATGTATCGCGGGCCAAAATACTCTGTATTAAACCAATATAACCTGTACCGAAAATTCGAAGGACGAGCGGCGAATTCCTGAGCCGCCAATTTCTGTGACCTGTGACGGTTACTTCGGTTTGAAAGCGGTTCACCGACCAATCGGAGGCGCAGGCTTGGCTGCCAATCCCCTATGCGCATTTGCGGAAATTGCATACGTCACCAGCTGTCAACAGAAATGCGCCGCTCAGGATATTCGCCGCGCTCGTCAGCTTCGAATTTTTGTAACAGGTTAATATTAGTTATAATACCAGAGTATTGCGCATACATAGTAACTGTCTCCGAATCGCGGAGAAAGCCAGTTCGCTGTTTAGATATACAACCGCGCAGTTTGGAAGTTTCTGGTGCTCTGAAACGCACCGCAGCAAACCGGCGCCCGAGTGATTCACTTCGGGCATGTCCTCCGCACAAAAGGCATAGGAGGCTTTTGTAACGCTATCCTGCTTGGCGTTTGGTTTGGTTACATTGATTGTATCTTAGCAAATGCATGCGCTGCTAATGCGCGCCGGCGAAAAAAAGACAGTATGAGCCCGCCATTCCGCTTCTACTGCTTTTACGCTTGGGCTATGATATGTGTATACATTCACTGGAAATCCGTTATTGTACTTGATCTAAAAGATTGTTTTTTTCAGAAACCGGCGCTTCATTTAACTTATAGGTAAATTACGTTGTTGCATTTTACGAAACATCCGGACCGAATCTGACAGCGAGTCTATCAAGGCCGTCGCTGCAGCGGGCCACAGATACAAGCGAGAACCAGGGGCTATTGTATAGGACTGCGCT